TCACGTTGAAGTACAAGATTATCTGGCTAAATACCGTCTTATAAATACACGTCACGTTGAAGTACAAGATTATCTGGCTAAATAATGTCCTATAAATACACGTCACGTTGAAGTACAAGATTATCTAGCTAAATAACGTCCTATAAATACACGTAACGTTGAAGTACAAGATTATCTGGCTAAATACCGTCCTATAAATACACGTCACGTTGAAGTACAAGATTATCTGGCTAAATAACGTCCTATAAATACACGTCACGTTGAAGTACAATATTATCTGGCTAAATAACGTCCTATAAATACACGCCACGTTGAAGTACAAGATTATCTGGCTAAATAACGTCCTATAAATACACGTCACGTTGAAGTACAATATTATCTGGCTAAATAACGTCCTATAAATACACGTCACGTTGAAGTACAAGATTATCTGGCTAAATACCGTCCTATAAATACACGTCACGTTGAAGTACAAGATTATCTGGCTAAATAACGTCCTATAAATACACGTCACGTTGAAGTACAAGATTATCTGGCTAAATACCGTCCTATAAATACACGTCACGTTGAAGTACAAGATTATCTGGCTAAATAACGTCCTATAAATACACGTCACGTTGAAGTACAAGATTATCTGGCTAAATACCGTCCTATAAATACACGTCACGTTGAAGTACAAGATTATCTAGCTAAATAACGTCCTATAAATACACGTCACGTTGAAGTACAAGATTATCTAGCTAAATAACGTCCTATAAATACACGTCACGTTGAAGTACAAGATTATCTGGCTAAATACCGTCCTATAAATACACGTCACGTTGAAGTACAAGATTATATGGCTAAATAACGTCCTATAAATACACGTCACGTTGAAGTACAAGATTATCTGGCTGAATAACGTCCTATAAATACACGTCACGTTGAAGTACAATATTATCTGGCTAAATAACGTCCTATAAATACACGCCACGTTGAAGTACAAGATTATCTGGCAAAATACCGTCCTATAAATACACGCAACGTTGAAGTACAAGATTATCTGGCTAAATAACGTCCTATAAATACACGTCACGTTGAAGTACAAGATTATCTGGCTAAATAACGTCCTATAAATACACGTCACGTTGAAGTACAAGATTATATAGCCAAATAACGTCCTATATGCTGGACGGATGCTGGAAGGATGATATTATTCGGCTAAATCACGTCTGAAATAAACGCGACACGTTAAGGCGGGAGCCAATATTTCACTCCATGGAAATGTTGATGGAAGCTATCATTAAATAAGTCTCCCAGGGATGTCTCATTACCTACTCCGGGAGTGCAGAGGACATTATTTTAAGTGGGTGCGGGCGAAATTGGCTGTCGAGCGGCTCTATCAATTCTACCACATTGTCTTCGGTCCACGTTAACCCTTCTCTTATCTCGACTCTTAGCTTCTTATCCACATCTATTCTTATCTTTACTACCTGTCTAGTCTGGTATAACTACTTAGACACCACTTTTTATATTTACTACCTGCCTATTCTGGTATAACTTTATAGATATCTCTTCTTATCTTTGCTACCTGTCTATTCTGGTATAACTTTATACACACCTCTTTTTTTATCTTTGCAACCTGTCTGTACTGATATATAACTTTATTCAAATCTTTTCTTATCTTTACTACCTGTTTGTGTTTGAATATAACTTTATCCACACCTTTCGTTATCTCTACTATATGTCTTTTCTGGTATATAACTCTATCCAGACCTTTTATCATCTTTACTACCTGTCTGTGTTGGAATGAATTTATTCACACATATTTATACTCTTTCTAATGTTTTTTATAACAAAATGAAGTGATATATGGCTATATGTTCAGGTTAAATTCGTTATTTGTATGTTTGGTGATATAACCACAATAATTAGAACGGTTTTGACGGTTGTCACGGTTCCTCTTTCATATTTGTTTATCAGAACAAACACTATAATAGAAACGATGCACACACTATAAGTATAGTGCTTGCTATACTTGTGCCCTGCAGTACAATTGAAAGAATAGGAAAGAATAAAATGAATAGAATCCATTCCAAGATGGATCTTTCATCTAAATAAATTCATCCCTGAATGGAATATTTTAATTAGATATACACGGGATTAATATACTGAATAGGATGCTATAGAAATGAATACCATTATATTTACAACACACCGCACTCATGTATTCGTCAGTAAAATATTACTATATATAGTCACGACCGTCTTTCCTCATCGGCCGCCTCTGTCACGGATAATATACAGTTATCATCGTCATGCGTTCTTAATTCTGTCACCGTTTGCTTTTGGTTCAGTGGTAGAATGCTCGCCTGCCACGCGGGCGCCCCGGGTTCGATTCCCGGCCGATGCATTTTTTTTTTTACAATTTTTAAAACTCATTTATATATTATACAAGAATGACATCCACGGCACCAATTTATAATTGTAACGAATAGTATTCGAATAAAAGCATTTAATCGGGTAAACCCCGGGCGTTACCCGGGTCATTCGGCTAGTAAGCAATAAATACAAGATTAACATAGACCTTGCTATATTTGTTCTCGGTCTAACAACTAAATCACTAGTGGATGTATAGAAAAGATGGACATTTTCTCTACAACACTCCACACCTGTGTTTGGCAGTAAACCTATTGCAATAAATACAATATTAACATAGACCTTACGATATTTGTTCTCGGTCGTACAACTAAATCATTAGTGATTATATAGACAAGATGGACATTTTCTCTGAAATACCTGTGTTCGGCAGTAAAACTATTGAAATAAAAGCAATAAATACAATATTAACATAGACCTTGCGATATTTGTTTTGCAGTACAACTAAATCACTAGTTAATATATAGACAAGATGGTCATTGTCTTTGCAATACCTGTGTTCGGCAGTACAATACTACTACAATAAATATCTTGCAAGAAGATTAACTTTACGAAATTTTCATGAAGACAGACAAAATTTAAAATGGTGATGCAATATGTATTTATCAGTACATCAACAACAATTTAAATAACGTACATAATAATATCGCATAAAAATAATCTTGCTTATTTGCTTATTTCTAGTACACGTGGTACAGGTCATGATAATAATTGTTTGTAGAAAAAGGCGACTGCTTTTACTGTAAGTGCACCACATGTCAACACATGTGAAAAGCAGTTCGACTTTGCACTTACAAATGTGTCAGAGCCCCGTTTAGCTACTTGCACTCGCTGGTGGGGTTGGAATTTTGCAAGAATCGGTGGCCATTGGAGCATTTTTTTTTAATAAGAAAAAATATCAATGCGGGAATCGAACCCGGGTCGTAGCGGTCGAAAATCAACGATTTAGACCAGCCTTCCACCAAACCTCCAAAAATAATCTTAGAATTTATATATGGAGAATTGAGGCTTTTCCTTCTCCTTCCCTCCTAACTGAAACGGAGTCCATCGCAGACTAGTTCCTGGCCGGGCTTGAACTTCATTGTTGGTTGAGTCATCCATAACCAAAACACGTAGTGTCTGATGATCAAGTTCTGCTGGAAGAGTAAAATTTGACTTCTAAGGAAGGCAAAGGGCCAATAAAAACAAAGCATATATACCCAGACACACACAGATTTATTAAGACCAACGGTCTTATACAGATTCACCACAGGAAGAAAGGAATCATAGATGGAGCTCCTGTACTCCAGGTAGCGCAGAACCCAGCAACAGCCTCCAGGTCCGACGCATGTCCAGTGACCACACGTTCCTTCGTGCATACGTCAAAGTTTACGTATCACTGGAAAAGGCGAGTGTGGAATGAGCCGCGTTCTAGTCTTCACTTTCCATATCCAAATATACCACGACATTCGGTAATTCTATTAATCTCCTCCGAACGGTGACTGCGGCCTGAAACAATGCATATATGTAACAATATATAGAAAAAAAATTATATTTCTCAATATATTGTAGCAGATTATTTATTATTCTATGGAAATCTTTTAAATTTCTATATTAGTATTTTGATACACTGTGAAATTTTCTCATTGCCACTCTGATATTATATTAGTTTTAATTTGTGCTTACATTAAATACTCAATATTTCACCTTGAAATAAAATTTTGATTTTTCATTGAAAAGAAACTCATGCGGTGTAACTTCAAGTGTCGATTTTCAATCACAGGCCGCAGTGTATTATATTATATTATATTAAATAAATTACCGTGTCATCCTGAAGTTTGTCTTCTAATTTTCTACGTTGCAATATTGTTACCATTCAGATGTAAAGCATCTTAATGATGAAACTATCTCTATGAACATATTCTTACTTGATGGAGTCTTGTATGAGAGCAACCAGAAACCTCAGGCTGCCGTTCTATTACATATGGAGTAGCAGACGCCACTTGCTATTCAGGGTCGATCCTTCGAAAGAATATTTGGAATCCTATGACCGCAGTTTAAATTCGCTCAGGGGAATTCTGAATTGTCCCCACACACATCTCGTAGCAGGGGTTAGGTTACATTTCTTCCATGTCACCCAGTTATACAAAGTCTATAACTCTCTATTCATGATAAAATTGTGAAAAAAAGGTTTTAAAATTACAAAATATTTTCTCACAATGAGTTTCTTTTTATTACAAAACGCTAGATTTCAAGCGATAATCGCTCTTAAACGGGCTTAATAAAACATCGACTATATCCTACAAGAAATATTTATAAAAACATATACAAAAAAGGTCTATAACCATAAGAATGTATTTACTATTATAAAGTAAAATTGGAATATTATTGATAATAAAAATATAAGAGGTAACAGTACACCTAACAATATCAATACATTTTACATGACATTTCGGCAGCAGCGTTTGTTACCAACTTCAGACAAATATAAGACATATACAGTTATCAGCGTCATAATCAAGCAACAATTCTTAATCAATTCTGTCACCGTTTGCTTTGTGAATGGAATAAATACCCAAATATGGCCATTTCTCATAACCATCGGTGGTTCAGAGGTAGAATGCTCGCCTGCCATGCGGGCGGCCCGGGTTCGATATTATACAAGAATGACATCCACGGCGCCAATTTATAATTGTAACGAATAGTATTTGAATAAAAGCATTTAATCGGGTAAAACCCGGGCGTTGCCCGGGTCATTCGGCTAGTGACGAATAACTACGACAGTAAACATACTAAACTTTACTAAATGTAGAGACTAACTAATTATTTATTAATTTTAACTATTCAAATTATCATAATAACAGAAGAGCAAACACGTGAGAAGTATAAACCAAGTTTAATGACGATACATTTTTAAAATGCAGAATCATTAGCCAAATTAGGAAAGAATTTATAATTAGAGACAATTTCAATTAACTAACAATTGTAACCAAACTGTGTGGATGTGCCCTAATTAATTACTATTAATACTAGTTAAGGTAATTATATCAAAACAACAACAAACCTCCCAGCTCTGTATTTATATTTAACTGACTAAACCGGTATAGGATGCATCCTAATTGTTGAAACGTGTTTCTTTTTTCTATCAATTTTGATATAATGAGGTTCCTACACGAAATGGGTAAAGTTGCATATATATTTTAGTAATATCCTTCAACCATTTAAACAGAAAGCTTGAATTACAGTCAATAAACACGCACTGAAATAAGGTAAATAGCCATCCTATATAAGCCGTATATACATATCACATTTACAACTGTATATATTTAACTACATTTTATCTACGCGTTATTTATTCATCTATTATATATTATCTTTTTATCTTAATATTTTTAAGTAGCACACACAATTGATTGAAATAATAGATGGAATTGTTTAAATTGTAAATATATTTAACGACATTTGAAAATTATCCCGCATGTGTTTCTTTTGAACGAAAAATCAAAATTTATTCCAAGGAGAAATAACGATCATTTCTAACCTTAGGGATGATCGTTATTTCTCCTTGGAATAAATTTTGATTTTTTGTTCAAAAGAAACACATGCGAGATAATTTTTAAATGTCGTTTTACAATCACAAGCCGCATTATATTATATTGTGATTTTATATATATATATTGGCTTTATATATTTATATATTTATATATATTGGCTTTATATATTTATATTGGCTTTAAATACCCATTTCTTGGTTTCTCAAGAAGCCTGTGAGACCAAAACATATTTTGGTCGTTGTGGTACAACCTGCTCTACGCTGACAAGGGCCAACAGACTTAAACGCGTTCGTGGATGACTTTTATTGATTTATCAAGAAAATGGGTTGGCCAACTATCAGGGAACAGGCTAAATCACCTTTAGTTGATTTCTGTTCCACTAGATGGCGCTCTGACATCTAAAAAGCACATGTGCCCCTGGTCAGGATATGCCTTCTTTATTTTAAATATATATATATATATAATACCGTTTTGAGAATTTCAAGATTTATAAAATTTGTTATTTAGTTTAAACATGTGAGGTTTGTTTTTATTTATGTAAAAAATAAGTAGTTAGCATATAGCAGTATATAGAAAAGTAACACCAGCAAAACATCGGCGGTTAAGCGTCATAGGCTGGATAAAAAAAGGAATAAGCGAAGAGAAAGTTTTATAGAAAAGACCAATAACAGAACCATGATAATAATTTTCCAAATATAAAATTAAGCTAATTAGAAAAAGAGAAGTATTTCATCTCTCTATTTTCTCTCTTGATGAAAGAAGATATTAAAATTAATTAAAAATCCGTATTTCTTAATATTTTACTTTTCCCTATTTTCCAAAAAAAATAATTACTATTAATATATATATATATATATATATATATAAGCCATACAAGAGAGAAGAATAAAAATATTTGGAAACAAGACGTTAGCACGCCATTTATATACTATAATTAAATATGATGATAGCATTATTTTATTTATTATAAAACACTTCATACTGTTTTTACTGAAATGTTAATTATATTGAAAGGACTTGAATCATCATTGGAAAAACCTTTGAGCTGTTTCTCCAATTTAATCATCATTCCACTATTTCATTAATTAATTTATTAATCAACCAGGCGCGATATTGAAATATTTGCGCCTATTACAGAGGAAACAAACAAAACAACAAACAAATTAGAATTTAGAAATAAATATTTAAAATTTACATGTATTATTCGACAGATTTCATGAATCTTTTCATAATCATTCCACTATGATATTGCATCTATCTACTTTTGTATTGGGGCTAAGTTGTTTATATACTTGTCACTATAAATGACCTCTTGATTAAGGTATTCACTGAAAATCTATGGACATAATACTATATGAAAAAAACAATAGAAAAAATAATAATAAAGGGGTCAGGTGTTGATATTAGAAATAAAGGAAGCATATCCTGACCAAAAGCACATGTGGTTTTTAGATGACAGAGCGCCATCTAGTGGAGCAAAAATAAACTAAAGTTTATTTCACTTGCTCCGTGATATTTGGCCAACCCAATTTCTTGATAAATCAAGAAAAGCCATCCACGAAAGCGTTTCGCGCTGTTGGCGCTCGTCAGCGTGGAGTAGGCTGTACCACTGCAACCAAAAATATTTTTGGTCCCAGAGGTTTCTTGAGAAACCAAGAAATGTTGGCCAAATATCATGGAGCAATTTAAATAAACGTTAGTTTATTTTTGCTCCACTAGATGGCGCTCTGCCATGTAAAAAGCACATGTGTTCGTGGTCAGGATATGCTCTCTTTGTTTTTAATAATATTATAAATAAATGATCATATTCCACTCGGGAATTGTTGTTTATGCTTCAATTTTAATATGATGCAATAGCGCGCCATCTTAAGTAATTTAAACTTATTATGACACGTGTATCTTTCTTTTAAAATGAAAGGATTTTCCACTGTCCTTACTACAATGATAAAATAATGGGAGGGCCTGGCTCAATAGTAGTGAACCCTACCAGAGGTTTAGCCAGGTTAACTTGCTAATTGTTTTTTTTACTGGAGATTTAGATCATTGTATATGCCAAATATATATGTGTGTGGGTGAAATTCTGATTTTCTAATTCAAAAACCTAAATATATACATGTTCCAAATTAAATATACTAGGTGCTACTCAAAATGAGAAACCTAGCTTATGATATTTGCAACAATGAATTAATATGTGAAGATTATTCACAATTTTTTTTTATTTTATTTTTATTTCGTTTTAGAGCGCTATGTGTGTGCCCTTTTAGGGACACTTGAACTTTAAAGATAAACAAAATTTGAAGGAAAGTAAAGTAAGATATTTAAAATACGTACAATAATATATACAAATGAAAACAAAGTGTCCAGGGTGGGATTCGATCCTGGTTTATGACTGTCGGGAATCGAGGGTTTTAACCACTTGTCTACCGACTATTTTTAAATATATAACTTGTATTTATATCATTGACGTCAAAATGGATATAAAAGCAAATTTGTCTTTTGTAGCAACATTTGATTATCTTTCTCTCTCCAGCTTGATTTGATCAAATATTTTTAAAATGACATTGTAAGTTATTTAATTGCCTAAATATTCATTTGAAAAGTTCTTGTTCTTGTTCAAAATCACTCTATTAGGTACCGCTCAAAAAGAACAACCTAGTTTATGATATTTGCAGCAATGGATAATATGTGAAGGCCATTCATATATTAAAACAAAGGGTTCAACGCGGTAATCGATCCGGGTTCATGGCTGTCTGAAATCAAGGGGTTTAACCATTTGTCCACCGTTTGTTCTTTTTGAAAATTAATGTGAAAATAATATAAACACAAAATATATGAACGATAAAATGTATCTCATAAATATTATTCACAGGTTAAAATTCTTTAAATATTATTACAAAATTAACAAAATGAAAGAACTTAAGCACGAATGTTTATTTTAAATACAATACAAACTTGTACTGTCCTTACTGCAATAAAATATATTGGGAGAGCTTTGCTCATAAGTGGTGAACCCTCCCAGCGTTTTAGCCAATTTAATCCACCAGACCGCTTCTTTTAGCTCTAATACTGTATTGGACGATTCGGGGGTCGGTGGAAGGATGGTCTAAACCGTTGGCTTTCGACCACTACGACCCGGTTCGATTCCTTCATTGGGCACTTTTTATGTTTAAAAAAAAAAATGCTCCAATGGCCCCCGATTCTTGCAAAAGTCCAAACCCACCACCGAGTGCAAGTAACCAAACGGGGCTCTGGCATATTTGTAAGTACAAAATCGAACTGCTTCTCCATATGTTTAGCAATGTGGTGCACTTACAGTAAAAGCAGTCGACTACTTCTACTCACCATGATTATCATGGCCTGTACCACGTGTACTAAGGATAATAAAAAAAAGACGATTCTTCTTTTATAAACAGCACTGAAAAGTAAAATCTCAGAAATATTTTTCAAGAAAACTATTATAGCTATAAGCTTATAGGACAGTAGAATTACATATAACTGATGAGCCAAGCTCTCCCAATATATATTTTTCATAGCAGTAAGGACAGTAAAGTTTGTATTATACAGTATATAAAAGAAACATTCGAGCTTAAATCCTTTTATATCATATTTATAGATGGCGCGTTATTGCTTTGTGTAAAATTAACAAAGTATTTTAAATTTAATTATAAATTCGTTAAATAACTTATATCTAAGTTTACAATTTATATTTATAGCCTACCCTGGTACATTTATATTATTTTATTGTTTAGTACTTTTATTATCCTAATAAAACGAAATATTATATCAAGCTTGGATCACCGTTCTAAAGTAGAGACGGCTTCAATAATATTTTTAAATATTTAATTAAAAAGGCATATATTGGATCAAAATATAATTTATTTTACCAATAATTCAGTTGTCTGAACGCTAATTCTTTTCAAGGTATTGTAACATATGTTTAATATGCTATAATACCTTGAAAAAGGTTGGCGTTCAGCCAACTGAATTATTGGTAAAATAAATGTCATTTTGATTCAATATATGCCTTTTTAATTATATATTTATTTATGGATTGCTCTACTTTAAATTTTTTGAATATAAAACACTTCTTTCATTATCAGCAACAAAAATACGCGCTTATATTTTATTTC